GCGGTGGTCGATCCATCTCTTTTGGCTGAAGTCCAGTCAAGACTAAGCAAATCTTTTTTCACAGGTGAGAGAAGTCACTTGTTCGGCGCCTGTGAGTGACTCTGGTACGCGGGTCAGTCACGGCAGAGAAAAGGTAACGTTGATTCCAAAGTACAAACGGAGAGGAATCTGGCTCGTTTCAGATATGAGCCCTGCCTATATCTACCAAACGATACGTAACATCCGCACTATTCAGACCCAATGCGACGACGATCTGGGTCGAACGGCTTCGGCGTTGCCGTCGACTAGTCTGCATGCGGAAAACATACCTCGGTACCCCGGCGTTACCCCAACATTCGACGGCACCACCTGTGTATCAGGTCAACTCCCTCCAATATGACTTTCTTGACAGGGTCTCCTCGCCAGAGTTCTGTTTTGTAGTAGTAAAGCAACTGATTCTGACCTTTGATTTTCTCGCAATGGCTGGCGACGAACAGAAGAACTCCCCACCCGCAGACGCGTCAACGCCATCCGACTCTGCGAAAGCTAGGCTTGAGCAGGTCAGCTCGCACATTGCGCCCAACACGCCGAAGCGACGGCGGAGAAAGGCTGCAGATTCAGATTTACCAGCTGATTACTCGGATATCCTTGGTCAGATTGCAACGCTCCGTAAGAGCGCTGCGACTCCTGATACTAGCAATCGAGGCTACCTGCGCCAGAAACAGGCAGGCAAATTATGGGTGCGCGAGCGAGTCGAGCAGTTGCTTGATGAGGGGAGTTTTCAGGAGGTCGGTAGTGTTAGTGGGACTGTGAAGTGGAAGCAACTGGGACCGTCGAAGGAAGAGCCGGAAGAATACGTACCTTCGAATAATGTGCAAGGTATGTTTTATTAGAGATTTGGTAAGCTAGAGATACTGATAGAGTGCAGGATTTGGAAAGTTAAGAGGAAGAAAAATTGTTTTTACGGCTGATGACTTTTCGATACGTGCTGGGCATGCTGACGGTTCGTTGATGGAAAAGACGGTATGTTCGAATGCCCATTTGCTTACGCGCATGCTCATGGATGTAGTTGTATATGGAGAAACTTTCCCTTTCACTTAAACTGCCGATTGTAAAGCTTGTAGATGGCTCTTCTGGTGGAGGCTCTGTCACTACAATTCGCTCATGGGGTTACTCCTACATTCCACCACTGCCGGCTTTCGAACACGTTGTCAACCAACTCAATTCGGGCATACCAAACCTGGGTGCGGTCCTGGGCCCTGCCATTGGCCTAGGAGCTGCACGTGTAGTTGCTTGCCACTTCTCCGTCATGGCTGGAGATATTGGATCACTATTCAATGCCGGACCAAACGTCGTTAAGAACGCCACATTCGAAGAAGATCTGTCAGTAACAGACCTTGGAGGTCCCGCCGTCCACTGTACAAACGGCACAATCGACAACCTAGCACCAGACGAAGCAGGCTGTTTCGAACAAATCCGAACAGTTCTCAGCTACCTTCCAGACTGCGGCACAAGACTCCCCCCAACAATCGACTGCACCGACCCCATTGACCGCACATCAGAAACCCTCCGCTCAATCATCCCGCGAGCCAAAAACCGAATGTACAACCCCCGCGCCATCATCACCGAAGTCGTCGACCAAAACTCCTTCTTCGAAATCGGCACTCTCTGGGGCACAACCGCCATCGTGGGCCTCGCCCGCCTCTCCGGCAAACCCATCGGCATCGTCTCCCTAAACTGCGAAGTCAACGCGGGCGCCCTCGACGCCCTCGGCTCCCAAAAAATAACCCGGATGCTAAAATTCCTCGACGTTTTCAACATCCCCTTGCTCCAATTCGTCGACATACCCGGCTACGCCATCGGCACCGTCGCAGAACGCAGCGCCACCATGCGCCATGGAATCACACTCGCCCGGACCTACTACAGCACCACGATGCCCATCTTCAACGTCATCGTGCGCCGCGTATACGGCGTCGCCGGCGGCGTCATGCTAGACTGCCGGGACCCGCGCATGCGCGTTGCATGGCCGTCTGGGACCTGGGGTTCGTTACCGCTAGAAGGCGGAATTGAAGTGGGACACTCGTTTGAGCTCAAGGAGGTTGAGCGGACGCAAGGTAAAGAAGCACGTGAAAAGCGGTATAAAGAGCTCGAAGCGGAGTATAAGCGGTTGATGAATCCGGTGCGTACGGCGAATGCGTTTGGGATTGAGGAGATTATTGATCCGGCGTTTACGCGGCGCGTGTGCTGTGAGTGGGTGGCGCATGTGTATGAGAGTTTGTTGCCCGAGAGGGTGTTGGAGAGGGTGGCAGGGAAGTTGCAGCCATCGTTTTCGTAGGGGGGTATGGTGGGAGGAGGGTAAGTGAAGATAGAATATAATACATATCGGCCTTTTTTGCTGCACACGATAAGATATTTAAATATTGTTAAGCCCTCATTCAACACGAAGAGTGAAGTGTTGTACCTAGCCGTTTATACGAATAAACACCACCAGCATCCTTCAAAAAATTGCCCTTTCTTCGATCTGAGACGTTAGGCATTAAGATTCTTACACAACACATTCTGTCAATTATCCGACTCCCACTTCTAACCCACACCCATCTTCCTTCCTACTCATCATTTTCTGTGTCTTGTAAGATACAATTGCTACCCCTACTTCGAAACAACCCATACCCACCATCCTAGTTTGTTTTCTCAAAACTACCCCTCAACCCCACCAAGCCCCACCTTCCAAACTCCAAACTCCAAACTTTTACCTACCCAAACATACCGCCAATTCTTTGCACTTTCACGGTTCTTTTTGTCCTCTCGCGAGCGCGGTCACATTGTTATGTTGTACTATATTTATACAATGACAGTAAAAAGTAGCATCGGTTTTGTAGTGTAGCGGTTATCACTCCGGATTCTGATTCTGACATCAGACGATTTCCGGCAACCCCGGTTCGATTCCGGGCAAGACCTCGTTCTGAGTTCTTTTCTGAGTTTATTTTTTGCCGTTGCGAACGTCATCTTTTGCATCGAGTGGAGAACGAGTTGCTTAGGGTCACAGGGTAAAGAAATCTTTTTTGGTAATCTGTTAACGTGTTTTGGGGGGGCATTAAAGGTGAGAAGCGGATTGCCATACAACAAACGAGAAGTGTCCTAGATTTTCAATTTTTTCTTAAATGTACGAGAGCTGGCTGGTATAGGAATAGGATTGCCAGGAAGAGAAAAAAAGGGAATCGTTGTGCAATTCTGGATATTAAATCGATGATTTATTTCTAGGTTTACTCATTCAGACACTCCAAGAGGCTGAATGAACATGATAACATGGGGTATATATCCTCCATCCTACCCTAACCCAACAATTACGTCCTTTAAGCTTTCCCACTACTTCCACAGATATCCATCCACCTCTCCGTCTCCTTCTGTATTGCCTCCATTTGCATATCGATCAACTTTGCCAGCAAGGTTGTCGACGCATTCTTCCGCAGGATATTGTTACCGGCCTCGAGCAACAGTTTGTTTACATTGAGCTTGACGGCGCCGGATCGTATGCAGCGCTGCATGACTTCTGGAGGAAAATCGTTGGTGCCGTGTAGGGCGATGCGTACGCGCTTGTTGACCTGTTTGTTTATTGATTCGAGGCGATCGTAGTGCAATTGACCTTCTTTGGGGCCAGCGGGACCGTAATCGCCGTGTATGTTGCCGATGGAAGGGGCTAGGATGTCGATACCGGCGTTGATGAAATTATCGACGTCCTCGGGTGATGTGAAGAGAGCTGTTGAAATCTAGTAACTGATTGAGAATTTGAAATGCAGGTATTCTCACCCTCAAGATCTCCTGTATCAGCAATACCATCCTCGCCGCCTTCAATTCTTCCACTTTCAGCTTCAACAGCAATTCCCTTGTTGTGACACTCCTTGGTGAGTATCCTAGTCTTGTCCAGGTTCTCGGCCTCGTCATAATGTGACATATCCACCATGACAGAGTCTACAGGCAGGGTTTCAATGATGTCCCGGATGTGTTCGACATCTTGTGCGTGATCGATGTGGAGAGAAAGTGGTACCGTGGCTGTTTTGACGGCATGTGCGGCAGCGTGAGCGAGCCAGGGTAGCTGCTTGAGCGTTGATGGGAAAAGTTGAATTATGAGAGGAGATCGTTTGGCTTCGGCTGCGCGCACCAGTGCAGTCAATTGTTCCAAGTTGTATCTGAAATTCCTTAGTTTTTCGCAAGGTCTCCGGACGTGCTGTCTTACGCAATGGCGGCCATGACGCCGTAGTTGCCTGCCTCGGCGGCGTTAAGGATGGACAGTGTACGGTTTTCTTTGCTGATAGTCATGATGACCAAGTTGAATATGTGTATATGAGAGTAGCAGACTCAACAACAGTGCAGACAAATTGGTCGCAAGAATGTATGGTGGCTTTGTGCTTGTGATTCACAATTCCGAGAGGGCTCGGAACTGAAACTTTACATGATGACATGACGGCGGACCAAATGTCGGAGGAAACACGGAGATGCTGGGTCGCTGATTGGAGCGCGAGACGAGCAGCCTCAATCCTCCTCATGCTGTATGTATGATATGGCTGAGCAGAGCGGGAGGGAGAGTTGGTGCCCGCTGCAAGGGCGGAAACAGATGTGCCGCGGCTGTACCTCGACACGAGGCACAAACATGCAGACCACCGGGAAGGCCCACTCTCAGTAACCTGCACCCCGCTTTTACCCCATCCTATTGAGCCTCACCCCGCGATGGATTTTGTGGGGAGCGGAAGCGATTCCAGTAACCCCCCGACATCCGCCCCGGTACGCTCAAAGCGTCCCGTAGTTCTTAGGCGTTGTTTATGTCCGTTCCTGGCCTCAGTACCTAGCCACGTTAACATAAGATTGGGCTAACGGAACGGTTCAATCAAAGATTGACTTTAGCTGCGTAGTGGGGCCTCGTCTGATCGTACGAGCGGAGTACTGCGGCAAATGTGCTAAGCACGCATGTCGGCATATGTACACGGCTGTGGGGGTGGGGTGGGATTTGAGTACTAGAGTTTTAATCATGATTCAGTACTCCAGTATTTGGCAAGGTCCGCGAGTAATGTTTTTGGCGGGAATCTTGTAATGTCAAGAGTCTGCTCCAAAAGATGCATGATCGCCGTCTGCTTGACTGGGTCCTGTACGCTTAGACCAGCTATCAATTGTAAGCATAATTTTAAATAACGTATTTAATGGTTGCATGCTTACCGGTGTAAATGGCCTGGATATTGCACATGGCACTGGACATATCTTTTGATTGATGGGACAACGCAATACCGCATATCACTTCGACACTCTCATCCAAGGCTCGTTGTCGAACTCTAAACTCATCGATACCTCCTATCGATGGCTGGTTGATGAGAACCAGGATCCGTCCCACGTGAAAGCTCTGAATGGCAGCCGCAAACGAAGGAGGGTGGATCCAGATGGGTGTGAATGATTCACCTGGTCTAAGTGGGGGCCCTCGATAGATGGGTTGGAACGAAGAAGGAAGCGCTTTATGCCAATCTTCAAGCGCTTGGAGGAGCTTTCCGGCTTGCTCAATGCGCGTATTTATGTCATACTTTTTCTCAGTCGCAGCAAAGTCTATACACCTTCCGCAAATATACACGATACGCAGAGCTAATTCGTCGGGGTTCAGGTCCATCAAACGCTTGGTAGGCCTCCATATAGTCAGAACCCGTCGCCCTTCACGAAAAGCAACCCACGAATCTTGACGTAGCCACTGCCACCAAGCAGCCCTTCGCAGCGGATCCCTGCATTCTCCATTGTTGTTTTGACTCCTTTGAATCCAAAATATGCCACGAAGATGCCTTTCCCATGCACCGTTGCTGTATTGGCCCTCAGAGTCCCACATCTCATATGTGCTGATGAGGATGGAGGTCGAGATGATTTCCCTCGATTTCGAGTATGAAGGGTAGAAGAGGTTCTTGGAGAGATAATGCAGCGTTTCGTAGTAATACTGTGTTGCGACTTGAAGTAACGGGTTTCGTAAATTGGCACTGGTGCTTTCGGGGTTCGGTGCATGGTCTTGGAGGCTGAGTTGGTGAAGTTGCGGCTCGCTCAAGAGCGCCATGTGACGCGCGGCTACAGCAAGCAGGGACTTTAGCAAACCCACATTGTGAACGGCTAGGGCGGGTACAACCGTGGTGAATTGCTTGGAAGGGTCACTCAGATCCAGGATGGGTCCAATGACATTGACGTAGTGTCTGAAAAGAACAAGCTCATCGTCTGTAACGGGTATAACTTCGGTCGAGTTCCATTGCTCTTGCATCTGAGAGTCAGATTCGGCTGTTTGGTCCTGTTGGCCTAGCTGAGGATCTACATTCGGCGTTGCTGCTTCGGGGCTCTGAGCTCGCGACATGGCAGTCCTCTCGAGGTCGAGATTCAGATTATACTTGTCAATATTGTTCATGGCATCTTCGGCAAGCAAGTCGTAGTAAGCTAGTGGGGCGGAATTGGGCGATGGCAGAGAATTGATGACAGTGGAAGGAGACTCAAACAAGAGTTCAGGTGAGGCTTGCCAAACCTGGGGATCGATTTCCCGAGGAAGGGGTCTTCTAGCAGAGGCAGCTGAACCCGGTGAAAAGGCTGTGGAGGCAGGTGAAAAGGCAGCAGACGAAGAGGCGTCTTCATGTGCAGGCGACGTGGACTGCACCGAGCCTGACACGGTGCTTGCTGTGTCTGCCAACACATCCTTTGAGGATGAGTAGACGCATTCTCGGTCTGACTTTGTGCATGTTGCACAGCGAGGCCTGAGTTCGTCACATTTGACCCTTCTCCGTCTACACGTAAGACTAGGCGGGTTAGCAGGAGTTGTGATGCAGCAGGATTGATTGTCCAGCGGGTCTTTGTGACGCGTTGGAGCAATGGCACGGCGAGCTTACCAACCGGTTGTTGTGCGTAGACCCTGTTGAGGGCGGAAAACGTCGGGTCAGTGAAAACGGGACAAAGGTTGGGTGTGCGTGGACTTACTCGCGCTCTTGAAGGGCGGGGTTTTCGAGGCTTAGGAGGGCCTGTAGAGGATGCTGGCATCACGAACAATGTCGTGCATGCTGGTAAGACTTCGCGTCGAGGTCCTTGTGTCTTCGCTTAGGACTCGGACCTGATCGCGTGGGGAAACAAGAGTTGGAGACAAGACGGACCAGCTACGCCAGGACCGAATAGGCTTCTGGTGGATAGTGCTGGAAAGGATTATTTCTCACAGATAATGGCAGCAGCAGTACTGTGGGGATCTGAAGGGGCGGCAATGGTGCAGAATGCATGCGGCTTGGGAGGCAACAGACCCCGCGCCAGTCCTGAGCACTATCCCCGTCCGGCTCAAGTAGGGATGGGATGCCTAATATATTGGACGCGTTGCCTGAGCGCTGCAATTACTTCGGTTCAGACGGTATTTCAGGACACGCAAATAATATCCTCAGCGAACTACAACAAATAATAATCCTGGGGGTAAGCCCCAAGGCACAGCGGGAGCGACATGGATACCCGCAGGAGGCTGACTCATTTGTCTCTGTCTCGCCTGCCGTCTGTCGCGCGGGAGCTCCTTCCGTGCAATGGATGATGCCCTCACTCACCTCCAAACTCCAACCCTCGCTTCTCCACCAACCCCAATATTCCCAGTGCACACACACACACACATACAACAACACAAACCAACACACATATTCTCTCTGCAGAAAACCCAATGGAAATTCATTCATCATCACGGCCAACAGGCCGGTGGTCATCTATCATCACACAGACTCCGCCCAATGCAGTATTATCGTGAAACAAACGAAACGCGTACAAATGAACAGCCACAGTCACCTCTACTCACTACCATGCGCCGACAATGCCTGCCACGGGAATGTCAATGCCGGTCGTATAACTGGCTCCGTCGGAGAGCAGATATACGTAGGCTCCGCCAAGTTCGCGAGGATCAGCCAGTCTCGGCATGCCGCCATAATATTGCATCTTCAGATTCCAGTCAGGCGCCTTCTCAACATAGTACGTCATCTGCGTTCGCACGAAACCGGGCGAAATGGAATTGACACGAATCCCATGCTTCGCCCACTCCATGGCTAGCGTGTGCGCCATGTTGCGAACAGCGCCCTTGGTCCCTCCATATGGCGCCGACGGTGCTGCCCTGTTTGGCCGGTACGAGGTCATGGATGCAGTGAAGACAATCGACCCCTTTATGCCCAGCTCAATGAACTTTTTCGCGGCTGCCGTCGCGCAAAAGTAAGCGCCGAACACGTTGAGATTGAACAGCTGCTCCAGCTGAGGGCGGTCAAAGTTGAGCGCTGGCTGATGCTTGGTCATTCCCGCGTTGGCAATCATGCCATCTATGCGGCCCGACTCAGCTACAATCTGGTCAACCGCCTTGTTGACGCTTTCCTCAGACGTGACATCGCAGTGCAGGTAGTGCACTCGCTTCGGGTTCGCCTTTTGAAGCGCCTGGAAATCCTCGCCCGGTTCAAAGAGGTCGAGCGAATATATCTCTGCCGCATCGTTTGCAAGGCACACCGTTGCAAGTCCCAGACCAATGCCTGTAAGTGCCCATTAGTGTCGCTCCCGAGCGCCCGAGAGGGGTCGACCAACCTCTGTTTGCGCCAGTGATGGCGATCACTTTGCCCCTGAGAGTGATTTTCCAGTCAAAATCCTCCTTTGGCTCAGTGGTTAGGTAGACGGGGTTCGGCACGCTCTGCTCGACTTGGGTGCCATTGACTTGACCATTGGGAGGCGCCGTCTGGTCTGCCTGCGGCATGATTGCAGAAGGAGACATGAGTGGAATGCGGTTAAAAACAAGCTGCTTGAGGAAGTCTAATGATATATGGAAGGTACAGCGAGGGAGCTGAGATACTTAAACCGGTGGATGGCTGAACGCCTACTTCACAGGCTCCCCGCATGTTTAAGTACACCACCACATTTCCTTAACCCCACACCAGCTCGTGGCAAGACAATTTTTTACTTCGCTACCGAGGATCCTTGGAAAAGAGCGGCGCGTATTGTCACCGTACCGGAAATCCACCCGACAGTGAACCAACGCCAGAACGAATTCGTGGCGAATGCATGTACATCCAGCCGGCAGACGCTGATTTGGTCCTCGCCGGCGAGCTCTCGCTTATTGACACACTCTCGCATCGAGCCGTACTTTTCTGCATGCAGTTCTGTGGATAGCGGCGGCCAATCGTTGCCACCACTGCATCAGCCCAGCAGCACCGCATTGAGTAATCTCGGCTAATGTTCTAAGACCTGGGGTAGGCGGAAAAGGGCCGATCCACTCTGGGGATCGATACCACCCAGGCATTCCTGGGCAGTCACCACCAAATCTTGAAAAGACAATAAAACAACTTTGCAGAGAAGTTCTATAAAGCTTTAAGCTGTCTCACAATAGCAAGGATATCTTTGCGACTGTCTCTAGAAAGTCGTAGAAGGTACCTTTTTATCCCCTGCAAAGCGTACCGCATGCTTGGGTTTTTTGTGTAGACACTTGCTTTTTTACGCCAAGACACCATGTCGTCAACACGACATTCGTTCGAAGCCAGCGACATCAAAGATATGGATACAACAAAACAGATTGAGGTATCTGAGGACTTTACTTGGACGCCCGAGGAAGAGAAGCAGTTGGTAAAGAAAATTGATTCTTTCCTGCTTCCAACCATGTGGTTGATGTATCTGTTGTCCTATATGGACCGCACAAAGTAAGCTGCTACCGAAGAATTGAAGTTGCAAAAATTGATCAAGTACCAGTATTGGCAACGCAAAAATTGCTGGCATGGCCACTGATCTGGGTCTGACTTCCAATCAGTACTCAATTGCTCTAGTTGTCTTCTTTGTTACATATGTCGCCTTTGAACCGCCTTCAAATATGCTCTTGGTCCGACTGAAGCCTTCCATATATCTTCCCGTCATCATGGCCATCTGGGGTGCCTTGACTTGTGTTATGGGTGCTATCCACGATTTTAAGCATCTCGTTCTGCTTCGTATCTTTGTTGGTGTCTTCGAAAGTGGCTTCGCTCCTGGTATCATCCTCATCATCTCGTCCTGGTACAAGAAGGACGAGCAGTCGAAACGCTTTGGTGTGTACATGTCGGCCGCCATTCTCAGCGGCGCCTTTGGAGGTCTCCTTGCCGGTGCTATCACTGGAGGTATGGAAGGAACTGGTGGTTTACGAGGGTAAGTGGATTTTCAATGAAGATCTCAGGATTTCAGCCCTTTCAACATACTGATTCATCTCCGTGTAGCTGGCGTTGGCTGTTTATCATTGAAGGAGCTGCAACTATCGTCTGGGCTGGAATAGCCTCTTGCCTCCTTTTGGACTTTCCAGCGAATACCAAGCGGTTGACTGATCGCGAGCGACTCATCGCTACTGCACGTCTCCGAGGAAGTGGTATCCAGACATACGTGAGTGGCGACGTAAGAATCGGCAAGCTAAAGTCCTTCCGCCTTGCAATCATGGACTGGAGGACTATCGGACTTGTCCTCGGTTATATGGTGAGTAGTCTGTCGTGTTTATCAAAATCGCATAACTAATACCTTCAAGGTCATTGTCGGCTCTTCCACCCTTTCCTACTTCTACCCCACGCTGGTCAACGGCCTCGGCTACAAAGACACTGTCACCGCACAGTACATGACTGTTCCCATCTATGCCGTCGCATTCGTCTGCACTGCAGTAACGACATACTTTGCCGACTCTATCTCTATGCACCGTGGCCTAGTCATTGCATGCTGGCTCACATTTTCGCTCATAACCTCTATCCTGGTCTGTGTGATTTACAACTTCACAGCACGTTATGTCCTCCTCGTCCTCATGGCTGCCGGTCTGTGGTCATCCAACGCCGTTTCCCTATCGTACGCCAGTGCAACATTTGGATCCATGGAGCCTGAAGTCAGGGCTATTGCTATCGCGCTTGTCAATGCGCTTGGAAATCTGGCGCAAATCTACGGCGCATACCTTTTCCCGGATGATGACAAACCAAAATATCTCATGGGCTTTGGCGTTATCTCGGGAATGCTGGGTTTTGGTGTTGTTGTGTATATCTTTCTGCATGTAACTTTGAGGCGCAAGGATGGTTTGAAAAGTTTCTTCTAGAGGACAGGATGAATTGTCGTTTTGTACTATGATAGACCATCATTACCGGTAGTGACTGTATTTGTAAAGAATAGAACGGATAGATTATACATACCATGAAACCGGACGCGTAAGAAACAAAACTATCTATACAGCCATTGTACATATGCCCCATTCAAGAGTCTAACCAAAAGCCTTTCAGATACATTTTCCAAATTAACCAAAATCTCAGTATACCATCTTCACCATCCCCCCCTTCCAACCCCATCAATCCTCCTTACCTCCTAGAGCCCCCACGCCACACAAACATCCTAAACCTACTCCACCTACTCCCTCTCCGCCCTCCAGCCTGCATACTCTCATACGAATACCCGACCACCCCAGGCTCCCCCGCTCCCCCTTGCACTCCAGCACGCCCAGCATTCGAAGCCGGAACAACAGACCGTCCTCTATCCACCCCTCGCCCTTGCACCACTGTCTCCGCTCTACTCAGCCCACCAGCAGCACTAGCACTACCCTGGCCACGAGTCTGGTTCACAATAGCAGTCTGATGTTGCGTCGATGCAGCGGTACGGGCTCCCTGGCTAAACGGAGGACGCTGGTTGTACGCTCGCGAAGCTACCGTGCCAGCGTAGCTCCGGGACTGCGATGGGCGTGTCCCGCTGGGGTTGGTTGCTGGGGCTGATCCGGCATATCTGGTTGATGCTGCTGCTGCTGCTGTTCTTCCGTGGTTGGAAGGTTGGTAAGCGGACCTGCCGTGTTGGGATCCGGCGTATCTGTTAGTTGCTGTTCTTCCATGGACGGAACTACCGTGTGGCGCGGTGCTGGCGTTGCTTCGGATGGTGTTGGACTGTGGGGGTGCGCTGCGGTTTTAATTGTAGTTTGTTCTGTGCTGGGTTGGTGGGGGGTTTCTGCGGGAGGTGCGGGCCCAGGGCATGTTGCGGATGGAGGGTTGTGTGGCGCTTGGGTTAGGGGAGAGGTAGCAGTTTAGGGAGTTTGAGTCGCTCTCTGTTTAGAATGTGTTAGAAGAGGTGATTCTTTTTTTTAGCGGGAGGGGGGAAGGATATACGGAGGTAGAGAGGTGGAGGAACAGGGGATTTCTTGGAGATGCCCATGGTGTTTTGGGGGAGATGTACAAACGTTTGATACTTTAGTATTTTAATGTTCGGAATGTGTGTGTGTGTATGTGTGCGCGTGGAGAGTTGCTTCATGGATGTATCGAAGATAAAAAAGATTGCGAGATCTTTTAAGGAAAATTGGCGACTTCAATGGGGTTTGGAAACGGCGGAATACTTCACTGCTGCTGCTGCCATAGTCGTGGTCAAAATGGAATAAGTCAATGGTGAACATTATGCAAATATACACCTTTACCAATGTAATCAGGATTTTTTTTTCGATTGTCAGTAAGAAATGGGAAGTAAGATAGTACACCAAAGCAAGTTTCATCTTGAGCGGTCTTTTCATATCAATATAGCGAAAAGTATGGTTTGCTCACAAACGCATCGTATGGTCGGCAGCAACAGCAGCTGTGACATCACAGGGACGCGCCATCCCAAGGACCCTTATCACATGTCAGATACTAAAAATACATACACGTGGTTTCTCGCTAATAGCATCATAGCATTTCCCCATTCGTTTTCCGCCACATAATTTATCAACTGAAGTTCAATCACTCATTGAATTATCACAATGAGAAGAAATGCAATCAAGTCATTCATAGAAATAAGCAAAACTGTTACTGGTATCTGATCCGACTCTCAAACTTCTTCAATCCCTCATCCTCACTCTAGTAATCATCATCCTCATACCTTCGCTCCTCCCTTCCCTCATCATAGGCATCCTCCATGTTATCCCCAAACCTCTCCACACCACCAACCATATTATCCCACTTGTTCTCAATATCCTCTGGGATGTCCTCAACCTCCTGGACCTTCTCACCCGTCCACCTGGCTGCGTTCTCAGGGAAATCTTCGACGTTCTGAACACCATTGTCCCATTTCTGTTCGACGTCGTCGCCGAAGTTCTCGACGCGGCCGGCTTGTTCGCCGGTCCAGTGGGCGACGTTTTCCGGGGCGTTTTCGATGCCCTCTTTGGCTTCGTCAATTTCCTCGCCTGTTTGAAAATTCGTTAGCGGGGATCGTTTCTATTTGGGCGAAGTGCGGCGGTGGGAAAAGGGAGAGAGAGTGGAATTCTTACCAATTTTATCGCTCTCGTGCATTAGTAGGGCTCCACCTGCAAGTCCAGCGGCACCCGCTGCGGCGTACTTCCAGCCATTGCCTCCGCTCTTCTTCTCCTCTGGAGCAGAGCCACGTGTAGGGTCATAGGCGCTCTGGTTGGATGCACCCTGATTGCTGTAGCCGCCTTGGCCGTAGCCATATCCTCCTTGTGGTGGTGGGGCACCGTAGCTACCTTGCTGTTGTGCGAAGCCGGGGCCAGGGTAGTTGTATGTGCGTTCACCGTTTTGCTGGTTCACAAAGACCCAGCGGTTCTCTCGTCCATCCCACTCTGCGTACCATGGAGGGGAAACTGGTGGTGGTCCTCCGGAGGACTGCTGTGGTGGCGGGTAACCCTGTTGCTGTGGTGGGTAGCCCTGTTGTGGGGGATAACCTTGCTGTTGTGGTGGGTAGCCCTGCTGCTGTTGCTGATAGCCACCATACTGTTCCTGTGGGGGATATCCGGAGTATCCGGATTGTTGTTGCTGTTGCTGTTCGCCGCCGCTCTTGGAGCCCTTGAATTCTGATATCAATTCACTGAGGAAACCCATTGTGTGAATGTGGGGGGTTGGATGTGTGTGGTGAGAGGAAGAAGGTGCAAATGCAAGTGTAGGTTGGGTGGAGTGGATTGAAAGAATGAGAAACGTCAAGTGTCTGTGGACAAGGTATTAGTACTTGAGGGAAACGCGGCATTTAATCCATCCCAACCCGATCTCGGATGCAATGGCACCTGCAGCTTAGTCTGTCCAAGACCCCCTCCCCCTTCAAAAGATCCATACGCCCCAGCGTACAAGCCTCAGTGTGAAACGTGGCGTAATCTCGGTGAGGCGGTGTCGCTACGCCCGGAGTTTGGACCGAGCAGCCACACAGTACTGGCGGTCCGAAACAAACTCTGTGATGCCCAGTGAAATCCAGCTACAGTAGTTGCAAACACTGGTAGGTATCAAACATCAAAGACCCATTGTTTTCCTCGAATAAGTTGTTGACAACATGGCATCTCTGAGTTGGCATAGCAAAATGTACAGAGCCAAGCTTCTGTAAGCTTTTCTTGGCGCGGCGGATGCTCCCTTTTTCCGCATATTGTGATCCTCGGCCCCACCGTGGCGAGACTTTTGAGGCGCAGCTCAGGGGCTATTGGCTCATGCTATACTGTTGTGCTGCGCCACGCTCTCGATGAGATTAATACCGCGATGCGCAGACCAACGGACAGATACTACGGATACGTCGTCGGCAACAAGAAAGATGTCATTGCTTGTTTAAAGACAATCAGTCTAAACGCGCTCAAAGGCCACCTGTCTTCGTTCTTCGGATCTGCCGGCTCATCTACCAAGAAAAGGGGAGACCACGAGAGCATTCTCCTGATTGTTGGATTTCAAGGATGCAGACTGCTTTGCACATGGTCAGAAACACTTGTCCAGCAGACGGCGATGATCTACCCTGCGCTACAAGCACTTTTCCCCAGGTAAGAACAGGTGGGAACGGCCGCAACGGAGCGGGGCTGCGGCAGGCGATCTGTCGGCTGTACACAGTAAGCTCAGCAAGATCGCCAGGCCTAGCTGCAGGCAATAGGCAATCGAACATTGACCACACGATGGTTTCGACAAAGTCAGACATTCCACTTCCATCATTATCGTACCATCGAAAAGGCTGCTATCAGTAAGGAAACTTCACATCCTACATAGACCATGTACCCGCTGCGAGAGTGGCTATGACCAATTGATAAAGAAAACTTTGCATGGGCTCCTCTGGGTATCTCAATCGAAAACAACCTTCTTTCCTGCCGGCTTGGCCCCGCTAAGATCGATCTTGAGCTTCTTGCTCTCCTTGGCCATCTTGGCTGCCTGCCAGGAAGGATGCAGCTCGCCCTTGTCATCCCTCTTCGCGCCAACGCCAATCTTCCTATCCTTTTTGTCGCTTCTCTCGCCCAAAGGCTCTGCATTACCTCCACTCTGCTGCGGTCCACGGCCGAGTGGCTTTCCTCGTCTTTGACGCTTGTCCGTACCGCTCACTGCGCCGCGCTTAGGATCGAAGGTGGCACTGCGCTGTGCCTTTTCGAGATGTTTTGCTTTTTGTCCGTATTTGAGTTCTGCAATTTTTTGACGGGCGCGTTGGCCCCGGCGATTCTTTCGTGGGGCAACGTCCACATCAAGGTCTGAGGCTTCTGATTCAGAGCCAGAGAAGTAGGCGGCATGGCTGAGGGCGGGAATGAATGCAGAGGTCGTTGGCTTCTCTTCAATGACCTTGGTCTTGATCTTTTTGGTGGGTATGGCGGCTGAGTCGGAGTCAGAGTCTGAATTCTCAGAGTCCTCATTCGATAGTAATTCGTCGTTCGCACCGCTCGCGCCGTTGACTTCCTCAACCTCACCCAACTCTTCACTTTCGCTCTCACTGTCAGCGTCGAGGTCAGAATCAGGATCGTGTTCGCTGTCGCTGTCCACGATACTTGGAGGCCGCTCGTCGTCTGTCACAGAAGCTTCACTCTCGTCTTCGCCTGACGAAGGCTCTGCTATCCGTGCGCTGAACGCCATGTATGGATCATCTCCTTCGTCGCTCGGGTCCTTCATATCAACATCCTCCTTCTTCACAGTCTCCTTGTCTTTCGACACTTTGTTCTCTTGCGCCTTCTTTCCACCAGCTTCTTCCTTCGCATCTTCCTTGCCCTTGGCGACTCCAAGTATGCCCTTCAAATCCTCGACCACACGGTCTACCACATTCTTCACCTGCTTGACCTTGAAAAGCCGTGCCGTAACATTAAGCGTGTTCGCATCCTTATTTCCCTCTCGTATCCCCGCAATGTATTCCTGTAACGGCTCGGCATCCTTCAAGCTCTTGACCCTTGCGAGCGTCTTGCGCAAATGTTGATCACCCACTTGTTCCAAGTTGAGCGCCTTTAGAGTTTCATACTCAGAGTTCAGGCGATGAATGGTATTGGTTTGGTTCTTATTCACCGCGTATTTCTTTCTGCGACTGTGCTTCTGGCGCTCGAGCATGGAGGCATGGCGCAGTGCTTGAAGCAAAGGCTTTTCCGCATCAGCGAGACGCTTCTCACAGATTTTGGCGCATTTGGCAGGTGTTGATCTGGAAACCGACTCGATCGCGGGAGCGGGTGAAGAGCGCTTTCGTTTGGGCATGTTGGGTGATGGTAATTGGTTTGGTTGGAAGATGTCGCGCCGAAATTTTGGAGATGCGCCAGTTTTTTATCGATAAGGAGCTTGGCCCGATTCTGCCTTCGCTATACGTACTGGATAGTCACAACAGGGCTAATGCCCTCACCAACAATAACCCTAATGTTTGAAGGAATGCAATCGAGTAGCTTTACCAAAAAGTTATTATAGATATGGTACCCAGTAGATACAAAGGATGGACCCAATCAGTTTTTGACTCAAGCATGCAGCCAAGCATGCGGCACTTGAACAATCCAATTGGACACAACAAGTCCGAGTCCAACCAAGTAGACACCCTACTAACAATCATCCGCACAACTGCCAGAAGGCCAACATCCATACTTTCTATCGAACTTGAGGCTATCATTAGGATCCTGATTAATCTTCCCCCAGCAGCAGGTACCATAATTATGGCTGCTAGTATCGCAACCCTACAACGAGATTAGCCAACCAACTATTATCTTCCATTTGAGTAAACTATGAAGAACGCACAGGAACACATGTACCAGGATAACATTTGGACTGGTATCCTTGTGGCGGCGGCGGGCGTGGTCTAGGGAGATTGCCATATGATATATGTCCCTGTGGACTGCATTGTCCGACGCCCGCCATAATGGTAGCAAGGATCACAATGGAAACCGAATAACGCATGTTGATGGTAGATTTAGCTGCGTTGATGGCTCTTTGTGGCTGTATTTGGTTGATGGTGTCTCGCAAGGGTTATTGTTGGATGGCGGGGATAGAAGTACAGGAGCCTTTAATGATGAAAGCGAGCGTGCTTATGTCTTTTTCCAGAAAGAAAAAAGGGGAAAGAGCGACGAGTGGCCAGTGAGAACGGATGAGGAACTGGTCTGCATCTTGCTGACAGTAATAAGTCACATCTTGTTGTAGTATAAGCGCTAGATGAAATTATCGTTTGTGAGGTCTGACATTTCATTTCCGATACGCCGGCGGACGCCAAAGCAGCAAGTTTACAACTCTTTGTAAAATGTCGAAAACTTGAAACATGTATAGTATATTATCACGTTCCAATTTAGCGGCTGAGCTAGGTAACATGATTGGGCTATCTATGGACCAGGCCTGCTTCATCAACCTCCGTAATGCAGGGAGAGAGGAGAGAAAGCCACTAGCCTCCATCTGGTTATCAATCTCACAATTATGTAAGGGACTGATTTAGAGTAGTGATCTCAATTCGTATTTAAGCATTGGGAAACGACTCCAAATCTCCGAGGGACTTCCGATTGTTCTTCATAGCAGAAGAAAAGACATCAAAGGATATCGAGACTAATCATACCACTTCCTCGAGGTATTGCTAATAATGTACAAAAGCGAACAACAGGAGCAATAATATTCGCCATGTAAAAATGCTTTGAAATGCTGTTCAGAGAAACGCTTAGTATCATTCCCTATGAAAGCATCCGAAGAGGCATCATGCTCTCAAACATTTATAAGCCGATCAAACTCTTCATCCTCAAACTCCTCCTCTAAACCATCTCGTTAGCAAAACCACTCTAGACAACCATTCTCTTCTTCAAAAGAAAACAAGGAAACGAAACAAACTCACCACTTTGCCCCTTCAACTCGCTATTCTCCTTCCTCAACCTCCCAACCTCACCCCTCGACTCATCATTTTCCCTCTTCCAACTTCCTAATCTCTTCGTTTTCACCCTCGTCTTCCTCTTCCTGCCCAGCTTCACCCAGTGGTATTCTAAATTACGTTTCTCATCATTAGCTCCAAAACAACCCCTTTTTCTCTCTCGCGCGCGCATATCCGCAGATTAGAATATTCCGAGGTAAGTAAGTACTTACCTGCCATGAATAACATCAGAGAAAGAATCAAAAACCCCTAACCAAAATGCTAACCAAAATCCTTGGATACACGCGCGCAGAATCCGTGAAAATGGGTTACTATTGCTCTTGCCGGAATCATAGTCATAGTAGTTACTGCCGGTATGGCCGTAATACAAGAACGGACCGGCATTGTAGATTTTTGCAGCCGGTCTTCTTGCGTTTTGCTGGTATATTCGCTGGGCAGCCATTCGCTTGATGCGGTGCCGTTGTCGTGTTTCGGCGTTAATCAGTTTAGATACGAATACCGGAGGCACCGCTATTGGCGCTACAACTGGGGTCATCGCTTTCGACACTGCTTTTTGGATAAATTTTGGGAAGACCCGTAAGCTCTGCTGGAAAAGAGTTGTTCGATGCAGTCGTGATGCCCCTATGAAGAGAGGAGGTGCGTTGCGCAAGACCGAGACATGGCTTGTTGTCCGGACGGAGTTCAAAGCCAGAGGCATGATATTCTTGAATAGCAGTGCTAAGATGATCAGTGAGGATGTGACTGTAGAATGTGCAGACCAGGTGCGATGAGTGATGTAAGGGATATTGAAGTTATAAGGGAAGGAACACAACAGTCATTCTGCATATTGGCAATAATGAATGGAGCACATTTGGCACAGATACGTGGTTGAACATGGCCGGTTCGATAGGACCAAACTGCTACAGCTCACTCTGCTTCAATTTATTAGCAAATTCTCGCTTCAGGGTCGGAGCATCCATGGTTCAATATTGCCCGACCAATGCCCTGACAGGCATGTCAAATATCGCATTGTTGGCCACCAAGGGACTGAATGGTCCTGGTTTTGAGCAACGGAAGAGGTGCTAATAAACGTTCCAAGTCATCGCCTATGAAGCTTCATAAACATTTGCTTTTATATGAATCTCTACACAATAATGTAGTTGCGAAGTAACTCTAAGTACGCAACTTTTGCGTGGTCGCTGAGCATAGTGACGTGTGATCACTCAGCAAATTCAGTGAACACATACGTTCTACACAAGTATCTATTGGTACCAAGCAATCATACATATATACATGAACGTAGACGTAAGACCGAAATGCAAATACGCGTAGATCTCCAAAAATCTGAACATCCAACCATGTTGACCTTCTAGCATCGCATATTGGTGCCAGTGTTGACGATGATACTGTTGACGGTGATGCTGTTTATGCTTTGTGTGAACTGCAAAGAAACCCAGTGTAGCCACCCCAAGGATCTTCCATTGAAGCAATGGACGTGAGAAATATCCACAAGAGGGAACTCTCATGGGAAAGATTGTTCGTGAGGAACACTAGGAGCTTCCATGGAATGAGAGCGTCTAGGAGAAGGGAGTTTCCATGGGGGTGGTCTGGGTGCTGGCAGGTGAAGCTACCTCCGTCACGGTCTTGGGCACCTCAGCCCCAACATCTACCGCCGGTGCATGGCTTTTTTGTATTCTGCAGGATTTGCAGGCCAAATAGGTTTTGGAATGGAAGTGTCCATGGGATGGAAGTGTCCATGAGATGAGGAGCGTCCAGGAGATGAGGAGCGTCATCGTTCATCCCTGGCCAGTAGCACACCGCAGGCCCAACATGTCCCATGTACCCTCTGCCCCTCCCAAGTCAATACACATCCATGTTCTATCACCGACCAGCAACAGTCCTCCGATCCTACTACCGACCAGCACCAGTCCTTCAATACCTCCAAAGACACCCTTTGGTGGCCCGCCTGGCAGCCATGTTGATCGTGTAGGCGAGAAGGCGAGGGTGTGTGAGGCGTCTAGGCGGCAACCATGGCGGATAAGCTCGGTGATGAGCTCGACGGCGAAAGAGGGAATGGTCGACGGCGAATGATGATCCCTTTTAGTGCCACTCCCTCCATCTCTGCAGCCAGTTTTGGGGGATTTTTTTCCCACCCCTCCGCCCTAGATAGGGTTTCTTATTTTAATTTTTTTTGAAAAAATTCCTACTGACTAGTAATAATGTTCACCGGCGTGTGGGGACGAAGCGACACAGTCGGGACTCCAGTTCAGGGGTCAGAGAAGGGATCGGTGTCTGGCATGGCCCATTGGCCGGTTCGGACGTACACTGTGACAACAATTAGTATATTTCCACAAAGTTGATTGGCGAACATACAGGAGTACGCCAAAGCGGCCAATCGAGCCATGGCCCAAGTGCGAAAGTCCCGGGTAGCCTGACGGACGGCGGACTTGAGTTCCTCCTCCTAGGTTTCGATGACTTTCGTCACCACCCAAGTACCGACCGCCGCCAAGGGCCCCGAGAACCTTGCAAATAGGCGTTGACCACCGCGGGGGTCCCCTCCCTGCTCCCTGTTCCGGAGTGCACCGACAGTCCGGAATCCCCGGACAAAGCTATATCATTGAACATAGGTTAGCCATGGCCAATAATAGAGACGTATACCTCTGGAAGAGAAATGGAAGAGGGAATGCTTACCGTGCTTGCCCCATCACCACCGGTGAACGGAAAAAAACTCTAAAAGAACGTGGCATAACTACAAAACGTTAGTGTTCAAATCGTCAAACTATGTCGATTTTCTTGAAGGGCGAAGGCTGAGGAAAGGTGGTAGGAGAAGGAGGAGTGATATGAGACTAGGGAACGATGGAGTAACAGGTGGTTATGGTGAGACGTGGGATAGGTGCAGTGATTGGGCACAAACTTACTTATATTGAGATAAAGGATGTTGGTGAAGAAAAGAAGAGAGTAGACCTGGGATGCGGGATCATATACTTGCGGCGACTGCCCTCGAGAAGCGCTTGGCATAACGTCTCGCCCGCGTTGTTGACTATTCTTCGAGGTAAGAGCAATTGCCTTGGTAAACAAGCGAGCAAAAACTTACAGAATGCGCTTCACATACCGTAAATCGGTGCTTTCGAGCCCCCAAGAGTGGTAGAGAAAGAACTTCCAAGCACAGTGAGATGCGTCTTCACCTGGATAAAAAACCTTGTTGATGTTGGGCGTAAAACATTATTTTTCCCACCACGCTACTGACCAAAATTCTCATGTGGTAAAGAGATATACCTAGAAGCAAAACCACGTGGCTACCCTCTTGCCCGTTCCTTTCCATCCCTTCTCCTCCGGCTCCATATCATCCTTCGTATACACATCCGTCTCCAGATCCATCTCGCTTGCTTTCCTGAACTTGGTCTTTTTGATAAGCTTCCATGCCACAATCATTATAAAGAAGACTGGTAGCTCAAGATAGAAGCTGACAAAGTCTACAGAGGCAAAGCTGGGACTGAAAGCTGTCCAGCCTTGGACCAAGACGATAAAGGTGTTGAGAACGATGCAGATAATGGGGCCCCATGGGTACATCCAGTTGCGGAAAGGAAGAAGGTGCTCTTTGCCCTGGGCTTTGAGACCGGCGCGGAAGCGGAGAGACGCGATGCCGATGCATATCCAGCTCAATTGGTTGGAGACGCCGACAATATTTTGCAACCATGTCCATACTTGGCCGGATCCAGCAAATGAGAGGGAGAAGAGTACAATTGACACGATGCTCGTCGTCATGACCGATACCCATGGAACTTGGTAGCGCGTCAACTTGGTGAAGACTTTGGGTGCATGACCGTTGGAGCCGAGGGTGTAGAGCAATCTCGATCCGGCGTAGAGGGCGTGGTTTCCAGCAGAAATAACGCTAGTAAGGATCACGGCGTTGACGAACGAGCCTGCGGCCTTTGATCCTGCCATCTGAAAAGCAATCGTGAATGGCGACGTGCGGCTGGACTTTGTGCTGAGTCCAGGGTAGTTGTAGGGGATGTTGAAGCCAATCATGGTAGCTGTGAGAATATAAAAGAGTAGAATGCGCCAAAAGACGTTCTTCACTACTCTTGGAAGGGTGCGAGCCGGATCGCGCGTCTCTCCTGCAGTAATGGCAATCGACTCGGTTCCTCCGTATGCGAATGAGGCTGTAACAAAGACAGACGCGAAGCCACCGATGCCTCCCACGAATGGCGCGTCGCCGATAGTCCAGTATTTCCCTCCGATATAGCCATAGCCATCGTTTCCTCCGGCATTTACTGCAATGCTCAAGATGATAAAAATGATAATGGTAACCACCTTAAGCAAGCTCAGCCAGTACTCCAGCTCGCCGTATGCTTTGACGTTGATGATATTGGCTAGGACGATAAGCACCCATACGGCAATTCCCAGCGCATACCAGGGCACACTATCGCTCCAATACCGAATCAACAACTGGAGCGCAACCAAATCCGCTGCCGTGCTGACAGCGTCGTTGAACCAATAATTCCAGGTCAGCGCAAAGCCAAACGCATCGTCGACGTAGCGCCCAGCAAAGGTGCAAAAAGACCCTGCTACTGGAACGAAAGCTGCCATCTCCCCCAAAGACAGCATAGTGCAGAAGACGATAAAGCCAACGATAGAATAGCAGATGAGTAGAGAAGCGGGTCCTCCAGTCGCGAGGGCCTTGCCGGTACCAAGGAAGAGTCCAGTTCCTATGGTCCCTCCAATTGCGATCATCTGAACTTGGCGTGCTGAGAGGGACCGTCGCAGGCGGTCTTCGTTGACGAAGTGTGAAGGCGTCTCCGTGAGGGTGTCTGGCGATGTCGCGACATCGCGGGGAGCTTTCTCGGGGTCCACGGCCGTCATTATGTTTCGATACAAACAGTATCAAGATGCGATGCGATACGAACAAAAAGAAGTGAGCAAAGCTCAGAGGCGAGACTCAAGGAAGCTTTTCATGGCAAAAGCTTAGGATGCCTTGGGAAGTCCAACACAAGGCGGGCTTGGGTGCATATAGTTTGCGCCACGAGTCAGCGATCATTTCTGGCTTTGCAGTAGCAGCTAAACTGCGGGTAGCAAAGCACGTCATTTCCCTCGCCTTGGATTGGGTGGGAAAGAGGGGAGTTGGGGGGGGGGAAAGTTTGGGTTACATTTGCCTCTGGGTGTCCACCTGCATAGGATTTCTGCACCGCTAGACGAGTCGGGCTAGTACTCCCGTAAGCAAGAGGAATACGAACCTTTTTAGTCAGGCCAAAATCTTGACAATGGCGTCATTGTAGGAAGAATTAAATGCAATTTTTGACGTGTTTTGAAGCGAAAAGAGGATACCGCTCGGAATTTTCGGTCATTATGGGCTTTGGGGCCTTTCTAGAACGCATCTCAAACTAGGCTGTCGAACTCTGCATCACATACCTCGAAACAAGTGGAAACGAATCTCGGGCTCCATACACTTTTCACCGATCGCTATGACCGTTTATTGATATTCTCCACTAGGTATACTACCGGGTCACTGCGCTTCTCTCCATGTGTTTTCTTGCCCCCCGAATTGATCATTGTTGTTCTTGGGTAGTCAAATCCTTCAAGAGCATAGTGTTTCACTTTCCCTTCCTCATTTCCAAGGCATACGCAACATCACCAATTTCAACACCAAACACCATATGCCAGAAAAATGTATATATTAAGAATAAATGGTATAATGCTACTATCAAGTCTGAACAATTTCAGTCCCAAACGTCCTTCTTCCTAGCCGCCCCTTCATTCGCGCAACATTAAGCTAGTTGGCCACGAACCGCACCAGGCAGCGCCAAACTGGAGTGAGTGTCTGCCATGAATGCAGCAGGGTTTGCCTCAATCATGTTGACGTGGAAGCCCTCGCCTGAATCCTTGCCCTCGACCATGACGCCGGTAGTAAAGGGTCCCTTCAAGCATCCTGCGCTGTTTCGCACTGCCACATCTCCATTGACCGGTTCCGGGTTGGGGAATGCGATTCTGGGTGGTCCGCTTGCGCCGCGCGCAGCCTCGTGGATGTGGGTTGCAGTTGTGGCTGGGGAGTCGAACTCGCCCTGGAAGTTGTGCAGGGTGATGTTGTAGCAGATCATGTTGGCTGCGCTGTTGATTCCGAAGTTGAATGTTCCGGAAGCGCCAGCGATGCCACCCGTAGGCTCGGTGCCGTTGACGACTTCCTCGGGAACGGCGTGGACAGCGTGCATGGAAGTGAATGCGAAGAGTTCGTTGGCATCGAGTGCATTTACTTCTGCTTCCTTGTTGCTGATGTCGATGGAGAATGATAGTTGCATGTGGCCGTTGCCGAGGTCCATGGGTGATGCGGTAATTGGCGCGGCCACTGCGCTGAGAACCAAGCTCGCGATAGTAGTGAGGGTTGCGGTATACATTATGAGTATTGTTGATCTGATGAAAACAATCCAAAAGGTGTCGAATAAAGTCGTATGAAACGAGCGTACAGACTTAAAGAAGCGAAAGAGAAGAGAACAAAGAATGTGTGAAGAGACTGATCAACAGTGAATTACTCCTACCGAGTTCTCCCATCAGCACGTTGTGGCCTTTATATATATGCGCGCTGCAGGAAGTTTTGGAAAATCGTACGTGAATGCCTTAGTACCAAGGCTTGGTGTTGGCCTGGATGCACGAATCCCGACATTTGAGGCAACTCTGCGACACATTACAAGTTTCGCACATCTTGGCCCACCCAACACCTGGAGAGCCAGTTGGACCAAACAGTTGTTGTAAACAATCACCGCCAATAGCACATGCTCTCACAGGCGCAATACATGGGGGCGGATGTGCACGGTAGCTGAGGCTGGTAGAAGCCTTTCTTGGACGTGTTACTTGTGCATCCAATTCGGCATGAAGGGGCGCCTCGCGTCTTGGCCCAGCGATGCCATAGCCGTTTGCGTATTTTTTTGCTTGTTTGTCGTCCGATTTTATGAGCCGCCATCCTCAGGCAAGCTGGTTTGTAACAGATCAGCGGAGGAAACGCATGCGTTGAGGCTGAGGAGGATTCGCGGCTGTCTATCTGCCAAGCCCGTCATGTAGGTTGACGTGAATGTCGCGCTGTAGAGCTCTTTCTCTCACGTGACGAGATGTAGTAGGCAACCATCTGGAAGGCTTTGTCGAGGCTCAATGACAAAGGCAAATCAGTCTTCAAGTCTGCTTAACATGTCATGTCCATTGTGCTCGCCGTTCAACTGTACTACCCGAGGCCATTGCTGTACCTCGGCGTACAGCACAAGAGACACCAGGCTCGGAATTGGTGAGGAAGTAACAGGGAGTCATTGTTTCAAGACATAGAGACAGCGCACATATATGTACATATAGGTACATACATACTGTCTGTGATATTGGAGAAGTGAATAGTGCGTCATGGAAGTTCGGAGAGCACGGGACCGCCACCCGCCGCGTCATCTGGGGATCCCGCCAGTACGTTCCTCCGCCTCACAACAAAATGCTTGGCAGAACACAGCCCCTCAGGCTTTGTATAATGAACTTTCTTACACGCAGTCAGCCAGACTGACCAAATCTCTGCTCCTTTGCTCCTCCTTACTTCTCTACACCATGGCTCCATCGCATACTGACCCGCCGATTCCTTCATACGAAGAAGCCGTCGTCGCATCCCCGCGTACAAGTGTACCGACAACTCCGCTACCACCACCGTCTGAACCCACATCGGCGGAACGGGATCCCCCAGAGTCTGAGGTGGCACCTACGATCGCTCCTGCATTGCCCCCACCAGAACTACCGCCTGCCTACGCCGTCGTTGATGAGAAAGCCACTACCTTCACCATCTATGGTACCTTCATTCACACCCCCAATGCCCCCGCCTACCAACTCTCCTCCCTCCTCGATACGTCCATCAACAGGCTAGGAATGCGCAGATTACGCGCAGAAGAAGTCACGATGCTCCAAGCTGGCGCACCAAATGTCCCATTCACCAGCAGTGGCCTCCTCTACGAAGCCCACGATCCGCCTTTCCTCATAAATGAATACTACGTTCAGGGAAAGTCTGCTCGTGCGCTTCCAGGCTTTTTGCAGATGCGGTTTGGGCTACGCCGCTGGCATGTTGCACACGTGCCGACACAGGGCAGCCGGCCTGTTGAGATAATGACATGTGGGAAGCCTGGAGGTTTCACCAAAGCCATTAAACAGCGCAAGAACGAAATGGAGCCTAGTCAGTGGAAAGATTCAGAAGGCCATGTCGTTGCCACTGAAGTGATGAAGATGGGCTATGGAGGAAAGATGCCAACAATCGAGTTGAGGAGTGATCTCGACCAGACGTGTAGGGAGCTGATTCTCGCACTATGGGTCACAAGGCTGTGGGCAGCCTTTGGTGCGGGAAGCAGCTTTATGACATGAAACTGCGATGCACAATATTCGCGGAAAGTGACACGCATGAAGGGACGTTATAATTTGTTTGATCATTGATTCGGTATTTGGGGTCGTTATTCCAGCACTTCCTCGGGCTAAGGCTTCTGCCGTCTATTCCTTTCGGACAACCCTCTTGAATCCCTGGCGCTCAACCTGAGCTTTCGCGGCCGCAATCACGGCGGCGGCATTGGGGTCGTTGAAACCGCAACCCGTCTTTCCGTTCTGTTGACTCGCTACTTCAGCACTGCACACACCGTTGCCAGTCGAGGCAACCTGGGCGCAGCACGCTGAGCTGCAGTCGGCATCTGACACACATCCACCTGTGATGAACTGCGCGCCGTTGCCTTGGCCAACATTCTTAGCACCCGCGTTGTTTGGTGTAACCTGAGCCATGGACATGGCGGCAACTTGAAAGTGTTAGCTCCAAAGTGTTATTGATATATGGGCTGCCATCGACTTACGAGTGAAGAGGGTGGCGATGGTGAAACGCATTTTGGATTGATTTAATGGATGGTTGGTTATGTGAAGAGTTGGGTATATGCTTGATGAGAGAAAGAGATATATACGTGAGTTAAAGACACCAGGTCAAAGAATCCGCTGTCACAGACGGCGAATCGAGAAGAGAGTATTAGACGGTGAGATCTTGAAGTTGGAAGTGAAGCTGATTGTCAAGTTGGCTCGTAGGTATACTACATTTATATTCCCTTAAGGCTCCTGAGTGCATAGTCCCCTTTTCTCCTCGCCATCACCGCGAGCGCGTGACGGCATGAGCGGGATCCTGAGGCTGTTGATGCATGATCTCCTATTGTGCAACGTCCGACTAGCAGTTGGAGAACGCTCGCAGTGCCACTCTTCCGCTTCACCATCAAAGCATCTCCATACGCATCGTCGCATATAGCCTCGCTTCTGTGCCACATAAATGATCGAGTAGCAAGCATGATGCCGGTGTCCATTATCGCGTTTCCCAGGCCAATCATAATTGACGCGGCGATGGGGCTGAGCTCCGTAGCACGTTGTCTCGGCATGCGTTTCAGGCATTCATTCGGACGTGACGCGCGTGTCAAATGTGTCAGATGGGTTTGACATATTAACCGCATTAGAACGAAAGGATCATGAATAGTCATAGTATTATAGATGCGTCCAAGCCGGACTTTTTTTGCACATTAAGTCGTTCCTCCACATTACGATTGCCACCGCTGTTTTGTGTGTACACATCGTTAGAGCCACCAGGGACGCCACGCACTTGTTGTTCCATTACATTATGGCGCGTCAATCCCCTTCTTTCAAGCAGGTCTTCTCTCTCAAATCATTCCATCATATTCAAACCGAGCCGAAGAAATCCATGATGATTCTGCTCGCTTGAATGACCGTAGGTCCTTGTTGCGCATACGATTGCGAGAAATTGGGTTCGGTATCAGCCCAAGCATGGCCTTGATCGCTGGTTAGCCACAATCAAACAGAAGATGCTTCAAGTCCAGAGGGAAAAAAGAGGATAGACTTACCCAAATGCATAACTTCGTAATGCTGTATTAGACCAGATTTCCCACCGCAACCCCAGGACCAATGTCGCACCTCGCTCCCAAATGTAATATTCACACTGCTGCTCTCACACTTGTAGCGCAGCGCCCACCAGTTCAGCCAGTTGAAGATTGAAGGCAATTCGCCGCCTTCACCCTTGCCGCCCGCATACGGAACGTCCTTGTCAGCTCCACCATGGATTTCCAGCAAGGGTACCTCCTTCGACGGCGCGCACCCATTATCAGGCCCATTGATATCCGTGTAGAAAGCGCCCGAATGCACCGCCAGACCCGCAAAAAGCGAACTTCCCTTCTCATCGCACGCCAGTGTTCCAACGAAGCCGCCGCCATTAGACATACTAACACGTTCCCACGTCAACACCGCCCAGAGATACCGACATCCATATGTCGAAATCGACAAAAAGTCGTGAATTGTACTCAGTGAGAAAAGGGAAAAAAAAAGAGCAAAACTTACCCAAATGCAAATACCCTTGCTTCATCAACACAAAACTTCTTCTCCACATCCCCAATAACATCAGCTACAAACTGCACATCCTCCTCCACACTCGTCCCATTATGATACGACGGCCCCGCCCAACTTCCCCCCACACCCTCCGGATACACCATAATCTTATCGCCGGAATACGTCTCGTTGTTGAGATTCGTGTCTAGCGGGACCGTCATTGCGCTGCTCGAGCTGCCATGGAAACCGAGGACGAGCGGGTACGCTGTGTCACCCTTGTACGTGGACGGGAGATGAACGTAGTAGCTGCGATTCTGGCCGCTGGAATCGACATATTGGGCTCCGAGGCTGAGGTCGTTGTATGAGATGCCGCAGCCTCGTGATTTTTGGGTGGAAGCGAGGGTGGCGGTGAGGAAGGTGGAGATTACGAGGGTGAGTTTGGATAGTGGCATGGTGGTTTGTCTTGATGCTTTTTGTGGTAATGGCGCAGGATGTCAGAGCTGAATGGGCTGGTAGGTAGGTTCTTGGCTGCGGAGATATATGGGGTTTTGGACGCTAGTTGATAAGGTTTAGAGGCCTTTTCTTACTACATCACCCGACGTCATGTATACAGGGGACTGGATGTAAGCGGGTTCGCGATATCATGGTGTTGGACAGTGAGTATAGTGGTGAGCCGTGCTCGGCGGACCGATTGAATGGTTGCAAGAACACTCCACAAGATCCTGCCTTGCGTTTCCGACGTTTGGAGAGGATTGCCGGCGACCACATTTCAAGCGCTTTTGGTAGCTGTGAAATGTTATGGAATTTTGCAAGCTTTCATAGACTAACGTTGATTTCCCGTCGAGGCAGGCATGCATTGCCGGGTAGTATATGCTAGTTGCCGTTCTCTTATGCACCTAACAGTGACACTCGCCAAGACGTCCGACTACAGTTGCTGACTACCCGAGAAAAGGGTCGACCGGCAGAAAACTAGGTACACGGGCAATACGGTGTGAAGTGATTGGTAGTGAGTGATGGGCGGCATAGGCATTCGTACCGGCCCCATTATTCTTGCATGCCTGGACCTTTTCCGCCGTCTTCCGATGCTTACAGTCTGAAAAAAAACCGAGCAGAAGCCAATCATACAGCTCCAGAAGCTGCAGTTTCCATTATTGATTGGATCCGAATCATATGCTACTCCCGACATCAACTTCCTGATGACCCGGGCTCGGTGGTACATCGCCTGTTTCCCATACTGTCTGTTTATGACCCAGTGTAAACACAATTTCTCCGCCCTCTATCATAATTCCACCGGCATCCTCATGCTCGAACCAATTCTTGTCCCACTTTTGACCGTTGATACTTACGTTCTGCACATAGTATCCTTGCTTCCCATCCCCGTCATCCAATCCTTCAGCTCGGATCCTAAGAGTCTTGTCATGGTTTACTGTGATGTTGATATCTGAAAACCAAGGACTCTCGAGAAGATACACTGGTGTTGTAACGACTGGATACAAGCCCAGCATTTGCCAAACTAGCCAACAATTTAATGCGCCAGCATCACTATTTCCAGGTATACCGTTTGTGGTGTTGAAATAGAAATCGTTGGCGAGCTGACGGGACCTTTCAACGCTCTTCCATTGCTTGTTGAAATAATTGTAAAGGTACGGTGTTTGAAAGTCAGGTTCATTGGCCACATTGTTAATCGTCGTGATTCCGAGTCCATTGACACCTAGATCGACACCAGATGTGTTTGGTTGAAAGACGTAGTCGAGTCGCTCTTCAAAGTGGGAAGGGCCGCCCATGAGGGTAATCATGCGTGATACGTCATGAGGGATGACGAATGAGTATTCTGTCCAAATCAGTACATTGCAAACGATAAACACGCGGTCGAATTGGCCCACCGAACGCAGTTCCCTCATAGCTTTCATCCTGCCAATTACATTCGCCGCAATTTGTAATATTATAAGTTTTATGAAAAGTACCGTTCGAATATCGTGGCATAACGAAGCCAGTGAAGTTGCGACTCGATGCTTCGGGATCCCAGCTCAATTGCCAGCCTGCCGATCTGCGCAAGTAGAGGTCCTGGTCACCGGGCGCTTCCCCTGCTGCAATCTGACTTATAGCAAAGTCGTTGAGTGAATATTCTACCGTTTTCGATACTGCGCGCGTATTCCGGTCTGCTGAAACGTAACCGAGCGGTATCCAATCATCGAGCGCTGACCGACCCTCTTTGAGAGACCCTTGTGGATCAACGGGATTTTGGTCAAAGAAAGGCACAACGTCGGCATCTTTCTTGACTGCTGCGTAGCCCTCGGTCCAGTTGATCATACCCCTCAATCCTTTGACGTAAGCGTCAGCAAGAACATTGTCGGCATTTGATCCGCCTTGTACCAGCCCATTGTAGTTTCCAGATCGCCCATCTGGCAGATACCCTTCATTCTTGAATATGTCGATCAAGGATCTGATCATCGATTCGTAGTAACTCGGTTGAATGAGATGCCATAGTGAAACTTGGTTTCGGAAAAGGTCCCACATTGTGTAAAAGTCATCCCAAGACGGCTCATCGGACTCCCATAATGGGTTCTCACCTACCCGTTCGCTTGGAATGAGGTGCACGAAGTACAAGCTTGAATACAGCAGCGCAAGCCGCGTTTTATTTGCGCGCTCAGATGTGTCAACCCGGATTTTGGAAAACACATCGCGGTTCCATTCGTCGCGCGCTGCCTGAGCGGTGTCTTCGATGGACCAAGTTGACAGCTCAACATTCTTGTATGTGCAAGCTTTATCCACAGACATAAAGGATATTCCAATTCGGGACTTAATCTTAGTGGCGTTGCTCCAAGTGAAGAGCGCACCAATACGGTCGTTCATAGGCCCTGAGCGAGCAGTGTTACCAGTAAATGTGGGTTGCGGCGTTGTACCGTTGTTGAACGTCCGAAAATGACGGCTCACAGGGAATGTGTTTTGGCCTTTGAACGCCTTCGCCTCATCGGGTACGCTGTCAAACTCTCCGCATACGTAAACGGTAACTGGTGCGCCAATGTTCCATCCCCCAGCAATGGAGGTATAGCCAGTGTAGATGCTGGAATTAGGCTGAATCTCGATTTCGCCGCCTGTGTAAAACTGACAATCCCAAGATCGTGTTGGATGTGGGAGATAATGCGATAGATCCACCAGTACGTGTCTTTCTGAATTTGATGGGTAGGTGTAGTGATATAGCCCTGCGTGTCGTGAAGCTGCCAACTCGACTTGCACACCAGATTCAAACTCTGTGCGAAAATAGCCCACTGAAGCTACATCTTCACCAACCTGAAATTTTGTCAGCATATGCAGGGTGAATGTTGTTACTCAACATACGCGATCTTGCCAATATGTGCGATTATCCAGCAAGTTGACATCGCCGTCAATTTTTGTAAGCGGCATTTGAGAAGGATACCCATATTTTGGTCCTCCTCCTGTTCCGGATTGATGTAACAGGCTGATACCTGTAACATGACCTTGGGGGGTATAACCGCCATTCAGCGCGCTTTGATTGATAGGCTCTTCATAGCTGTCTATGCCTAGTTTCACCATACCAAAAGGAACTGCACCACCAACGAAGACATCGCCGCCTCCATCTTTACAGTATTAGCGATGGAATCGGGATAGAGGTCGAAGATCAGGTGACTTACATGCATAGCCGGGTATAGCGCCCTCGGTCCCTATAAACGGGTTCACGAATTGTGAATAATCGAGTTCCTGTGCATCTGCATATTGTCGCTGCACAATCGCAAGTATCGCGAGTATCTTCGTACTTAACATTGTGAAAAGAGTTGATGTAGTGGAAAAGAAGGTACACCACCTCTTTTCACAATGCGCGTTCCCCCACCTTTGCGCACCACTCTGAAGGTACCCCGCTTATGCACATCACTTCCATAGTCGCAGCCGTTAGCTTTTACCAAGCATCGAGGTTACATTGTTGGGTGTTCCTTCAATGGAACTGGGGATGTAGTAAAGCATGACGTAGCTGTTGGTGCCCCGCCTTCCCCGTCTGGTACTTGCCAAGATGCGGAGTTGGCTTTGGGAGCAGGCGTGACATGCTTTCAAACTGTTTTGCATTTCCTTTGTATTATAGTAAGATGTAAAGACTTCACTGTATTACGAATGTCATACATAAACTTATTTTTTTAGAACTCCTAATAGCTTCTATCATCCACATCCTCCTCTTCGTTACTTTCGGAATCCCATTCTTCGTCATGCTCAATAGAAATGAGAGGACTGATTTGGATTCCCATATCTTCGACGTATGTAGGTATAGGGTCTGAAGCCTGGAGCAAGCCACATTCCACCATTTCCGTAAGCATAGTACCATGGACCCCTGCTTTTAACTCTTCCATTCGGATATGCGCGTTGGAGAGAGCTGGATTCAGATCTAAAGCTCTCTGCATGGCGTCTAGTGCATCGTCACTTTGGTTGTTACAATTGTCGTACTGGTGGGAAGTGTTAGTCACTGAATCGGGTTTGGAGCATGTGCTTACAAGAACCCCGAGATTATACCATGATTCCCACGTATCCGGATTCAATCGGATGCTTCTTGCTAGAGCATCAAGACTGTCTCGATATTGATTAATCTTAAAGTAAAGTGCCCCAATCGTAATCCAAACATCAGGAATCATGCCGCTATATGTAACGCAAAGTTGCAGCGCATCATATGATTCCTCAAAACGACCTTTTGCTATAAAGGCTCTCCCCAAAAGATAGTGAGGGATCCAATCTTTAGGTTCTACTCTACATGTCAGTTTCTATATACTTATATAATGAGTCAATAGACGAACCTGTCGCTATCGCCCGTCTCAGGCGATGGATAGCTTCATCAATTCGCCCTTCACTGAGCGCTTGCCATCCAAGGTATAAATTCGCTTGGAAGTCAGATGCATCATACCGAAGTTTCTCGTACGCTTCCTCTGCTGAAGTTAGAGGAGGCGGCCGCTCATATACCTGTATCCTTCGAAACAAGCTAATGGAGTTTTCGCAAAGCTGAACAGGACCAATCGCCGAGCTGCTAGTTTTCTGTCCACGCGCATGAACGCCAACCTGACCTGTGGTAGGGTCAAACGGTGTGTACGAAGATGGGACTCTAGCATATAACTTCAGCGGTAGAGTATGAAGAAGCGTGGAACTTGACAAACGACCACATTTTGAGCTGCAACATATTAGTACTCGAATCTTTAGCCTCACAGGGCTGCCCACCATATGTTGTCAACTTCATCGACTTGGCTCAATAACGTCCCAGCACAAGAGGGATAAGGGCAAGTATCCTTTGAAATAGGAAGCTCAGGGACAACCATTGCTTGCTTTATGTGGGCACCTGGTCTAATAGTCGAGTCCCACCGATGTTGTTGGCCGATCGAACGCCCCGTCTTCGCAAGAGTGAGTTGAAATTGGCCTCGTGTTATGTAGTCCAATCCCGGTCGCTGGTTTCCGTAGACAACTACCTTTAGTATGTCTGTGAACGACTTTTCAGACACAGCTAGTCAGCTGAATGCACAAAGGGCATTGCATCGACCAAAACATCTTACATTCCATGTTTGACACGCTTGGAAAGGCAACCCCCAGCTTTCTCCAAGCGCATCGTCAAGGCGGATTATGTCGACCGAAAGATGTAGGGGAATGGATTCGATGGCTCGAGCAAGTCTTTTCATATGGCCTGCTATATCAAGAAGCATGCGGCTAGGCGGTTTCAGTGTTCGAAATCTTTAGCCGCTTAGATGGGGGAAGACAACTAACGTGTTCTGGCTAATGGCTTCCAGCATCTCTTTCGAATAATTCGAGAACCTAAAGATTTAGCCCATACGGTACATCGACAATCCTGTCAAGAACCCACAAGTAAAGAAGTTTCCTCAAGTCATTCAAGACGGAATGCAACCGCGCTATTCCTCGCAAAATCTGAGCTTTACCAGTGTGCATTATCCCCATACTATTTTTCCCCTGAACAAATATTTCCGTTACCTGAGATTTTAGCCCTGCAACTATTTGTGTCAGCTGTGTGTCCCGTGTGATCTGTTGTTCTCCGTTCCGAGCGATTTCCAGATGTATATTGGCGATTGAATCAGGTAGCTTGTGGACCAGGTCCAAGATCATGGAGGCCTTATCCAGAATGGCGTCGGAGCTTTGACGAGAGTCTATTGAGCGAGCAGATAATCTTCTGAGATTGGTCCTGGCAGTGGTGTAAGTACTCGCGCAGCTCTCAGCATGACTATACTGACAGCTGCTGCACGCTCAGAAGCATATTAATCGCAGCCATTTCCGAGAGCATGACTTTTCGTAATTCTTCGACATCTTTCTGCGTGACGATAGACCATTTCATACGGATTCCTACATCGTTGAGTCGTGCAGTCCGATAGTGGCCCAAGGAACGTTCTTTTGATAGTAGCTTGTCAATGAAGGCTTGCAAAGGCTGGTGACAATGGCTGACTATGACTCGTATCTGCTCAAGAATCTGCTTGTCTTCCTGATCGTCTTTTTGGGCTTGGACCACGTGCATGAGAGTACGTTGTAGCAAGTCGAGTTCGACAGAAAGATTTTGGAACTGTGCTGGAGCATCGCGGTAATTCTTAAGTTCGATCGCGATTCGCTCAAAAAGTCCCAGCACTGCGAGGAAGTCACCGACACCAAATCCAAAAGACATCGTGGACCACTGCACTTTCAAAACCACCGGTACTGGTGTGGGGAAGGGCGGGGCGAACACCCAAGGCTCCCTACTTCAGTCCACAGTGTTGGCAGTAAGTTTCGGGGTAGGTCGGAGCAATCAACAACTGCTTGCAGCTAGTTATGACGGGTAACAGAATATGATAGTAATGGATAATCGTCAGAGTAGTTGATAGAGTAACGTTGAGTTATGAAGCTCCGCTGCCGTGGGGCAGTGCAAGCCACGAACAAGGCTTAGCCCCTTCGCACATCAGCCGGCCTCACAGCGTCGACATGAAACATAAGTCTTTTTTGTATTTTGCCTCGTTTTGGGGCTGATTTTTGAGCCCGCAGTGATTCTGGTGTTCGTCACGTAACAAGGCGCTACCTGAGTCGAGAGATTCCAAACATTCTTGTACAGCTACTTAGCGCAGAGCTTCTCGGAGATAATGAGGTTGCATTTCTTTGTCCACGAAACCCCCTCTGTGACTGACCGTAATATGTATCTAAAGCTTCAACAATATCATTTATAAAACGAGTAACTGAAAGTCCAGCTACCGGTGCTGAAAGAGCGGTACATTTTGAGCAGTGTATATAATACCATGCTCAAGTTGCACCCCCGTTCAGTACCGCCAGCTGGGCTTCCAGAGTTACCCATTGAACAAATGATGTTCGAAAACTACATGACTGGCGTGGGTAGCGATCCTCCAAATCGAGGCAATAAAAGAGCAAGTCGCAGCGGAAAGAGCAAGTACTAAAATCAAGAAGAGCAGATAATAAACGCATACGCCACGCCAGTCATACAAATGTCTTGTCATCCCAGACCAAAATCCTAAGACCCAGAAGTACAAAGCCATTGAACGCCACAGATCAGTATCCAATCCCAATACATGTTGAGTAAACACAAACAAAGTGATAAAGAAAAAAGGCAAAAAAGCAATCTCTTACTTCCTCTGATTGAAAGGAAAGCCGCCGGCGGGACCGTACCGAGAAGAGCCAAGTCCAGGGGAGCCATTGGGAGATCTGCCGTAGCCGTTGTTCTGTGATCTAGCCTGCGGCATATTTGGCTGGGGTGTATATGGGTGACCACCAGCCGAGCGATATACGCCTTGGAGCGTTGCATTCATCTGTGAATGCATGGCTGTCATATAAGCCATGAACGCCGGTGCTAGCTGATCTTCGGGGGCTTCGGCAATGGCCCTTTGGTAGTACTCGTTGGTGGCCAAGTTGTTGAACCTTTGTGTCCGGTAGAAGTTGATCATGGCCGCCCTTTCCTCATCCGCCTTGCTCAGAGCGCTCTTGAGGGTTTCGATCTCAGCGGCCTGGGCGGCTTTCTCGCGCTCCAGAGCATAGACCTTGAGTTCCAGGCAGTCGAGACTGTGGCCGAGAGTTATGCCGTTCCCACCGTGGGCTTGGACAAAGCGATCCGAGCAAGTGCCCAGTTCGGCGTATTCCCTGTAGAGATCCGAGGAAACATCGCCGACGTGTTCTTGAAGTGAGTGCTGGTCGCGCACCATATTCCCAACGGTCTGTACCATCTTCTTCACGTCCTCATCTTGCTGAGTGACGGCTTGAAAAATATCAACGAACTGCTCCTCAATCCTCGAGATCCGAGTCTTTGCGTGTTCGTGTGATGCGGTAAGAACCTCCAAAGCGAGATTGTAGCGATCCTTGGCTCCCCTAAGGGCCTTGATCAATATGGTTTGTCCCCAAGCCTTGGCTTCGCACCTCCGCAGCCTCTTCATAACTGCTTCATGGAAATCGCGGAACTCTTGGTGAAGATAATCCCAACCGAATGTCAGGAATGGTTCCAGGAGGGTGAGCATGGCCAGTGATAGCCAGAGGTAAATCGCATACGGGTGTCGAGAAACGGCTTTTTCGAACATGAATTCCCTGATCGAGTTAGTTGATGAACGTGGTCAGATCTTGCATACAATATATACGTACCCATCAATCTGAGGCATCTCCATGCAAAAGCTCGCAGCAAACCAAACAGGTTTGAAGGTGGTGTAGTACACCATGAGCAGTAGAGTGTGGACCAGTCCCATGACAAGGTCCGAGGCGAGAGAGTTGAAGTATCCAGGGATATCCTGGATGGTTTCGAAGACAATCTCAGTCTCAGGTTCGATCGTTGGATCGTATACAGTCCGGTCTGGGATAAGTTGCTCCCCAGGGGCGACATCGGCTGTGGGGGTCGCGCTGATGACTGGTATGACATCCAGTTCAGCGAAGCCGATCATGTTGTTGAGGGTGTGTCCTGAGACACCATATACGTTGGAACATTGTTGGCTAGTTCCACAGCCACTCATGAACTCGACGTTCGTGATATTCAAGTTCTGGGGGCGGAGTAGGGGGTCTGATATCATTCCAGTTGCCCTCAACACCGCAAGAACCAGTACTGCGATAGGTGACATGATGGATGATTGAATATGTGGAGAAATGGTTGGGTGTATAAAGAATCAATTGATGGTTGAGAATGTCAAGAATAGACTGATGGTTGAGAAGTGTGTTGGAAGAGAATTTGCAACTGAGGAAATTGCAGCTATATTAATAGTGTGTGGAAAGGGTACTAAGGGCAGGTTGCCAGGAGATGTTCACTGGTTGCAATTTGGGTGAGAGTGAAAGCTGCAGTAACCTCCTGCATATGACGCCCGGCAATCCTCTGCCAGTTGCCTGGGGCGTGAAAACACAATGCTCCGTCAGCTTCTCGGGCTTGGAAAGGCAATAATTTGCCAGTTGCCTGGTGGGTGAAAGTGAATGAGATGTTCACGTGTAACCTTTCTTGGCACCCTGCCCCCCCTAATCGGCAAGGCAGATGAAAGGAAAATCAAAAATGTCATCATTTTAGGCAGTCACTTGACCTCCGGCCGCTGTAGAACCTCAGCATCAGAGCGACTTTCTGAGAGTCCTTGCTTTCTGTCATCATACTGACATTGCTCGGCTCATTCCGCATATCGAACATGATCGCCTTTTGCAGCCAGCCGATGCAACACCCCAAGTGTCAGAGTGACTTTCTGCGAATCCTTGCTTTCAATTTCTATGATGTTATTCCTCAGCTTAGTCCGAATATCGAGTACAAATATCAGCCATGAAATCAAACATTGTGTGCCCTTGTTGACAATGGTCTATTTGACTCCTGATAGATAGTTGAAAATGATGGTACGGGCGCCACTCTTGGCGTTGTGGATACACAATTGCAAAACAAGAATGCTCATGGTAGTTTGGATGGCCTAGAGAAAGAGAAATATAGGTACTGTGACTATGTCAAGTAGATTAGGAAGATGACTAGATTGTGGGCGGCGGCCGTGGCTCGAGTGCGGAGGATTAACATCATGATCACAGCCCGTAGGCGGTACGGAAGAGTGGTACAACTTATCTTTCTCTTACTATTCGTACCCACTAGTCTAGCTGCGGCCAGGGAGAGTACGTGGTAAAGATTCTTAGAGCAGATCAAATCGGGTTTCTTCCTGCACAACCCCCCGCCCCCTCGTCGACTGATCACAATATGCAACGAATGCTGCAAACATATGCTGATGTCGCTTGCTCAATCTACACTCAAACGCTGATCTGTAATAGGCAAATTTCAAGAATCTTCAATATTTATCTCTGCCTTTGTGGGTGAAGTGATGTAGTATAGATCTATTGGCAAGATTTTGCGACTCGACCAAACCGATCAAGTTACCCACCCTACGCTCGAAACAACGATTCACAGCGATTTTGTTACAGCAACATGAAGTCATTCCATTATTCATCGGTAATCTGTTGTACATAGATTCTGAATACGTAAACCGATGATTAATGGAGTCAGCCAGTTGTCTTCTCGGCCAATGGTTGATCCTCGGAGAAACAAGGGAGACGATGAAGTGATAAAACCCTTGTTATTGACACACTGTGGCTAGTTATGAAGCACTTAAATATGCATTCAGATCCAAATTATGCACTGGAAAAGGCCTACGTCGGAACAAATACCACCCGGTCTCTTCAATCAAGCAACGACCTCGAACCTTAGTCTTGCGCGTCAATTTTCGACGAAGCTACATGCGCTCCACTTCTACAGAAGTGTATCCCTTTACAAAGCAAAACTTTTTGGTATCATGTCCCCGCAATAATGAATACATTCTCGTACGCCGTGTGAAAGGAAATCATTACCCTAGCAACCTGGAGGTCCGCCCAAGTCCAGCCGAACCCTGCCCGAAAAGAAAAGCTAACAACACCTTGCAAAAAAGAAAGAAAGAAACACGGCCGGAACATAACAAAGAAAAAGCGACTACCAAACCTCCAAAACAACATACCAGCGAATGACGCTTCCGACCAAAAACGCCCAACTTCCGACCATAGCTGCAATCGCAGCCCGGATCTCACCCTCCTCGACAGATGTCTCCTTCTGAAACAAAAAGATGCCCGCCATCATGAACGCGAAACCTCCGATTGTGTTCAAGAAAGCGCTTACCCAGTCTGGGTCTGTGATCTTGGGTTTGTACCAACGCTCCTGCTCTGAAAACGCCAGCATGGCATTGCCCACGAAAAACAACATTCCATGGACGACCTGAGGTCCAAAAACGATGGAGGAGAAGTATGGACTTTCTTCATCCACCACACCGGGGAAATCCACGATGCCACCAAACATGAAGATGACACCGCCAAAGAGGACGATAAGACCTGCTTGGAATGCCAAGCTGTTTACTGTGAGGTCCAACAGCTTGGTCCGGGAAGGGATCCAGCGGAACTGTGGTGTTCCAACGAGAGCAGGTCGGTATATGACTTTGTTGGGGTTGGACTTGGTGGCTCCAATCTGGCCACTGTCGGCATTGAGGGCGCCAAAAGTGTCGAAGACACCGGCGATGAAAAAGAGGATCGAGCCGATGAGAATTGTGAGTGGGACTGCGACTATATCCTGCTCTGATTCGGCAAAGGCAGAGGCAGGGTAGAGACGGGGTAGTAGGTCGAAGAAGGCATTGATGACGAGATCGATGGAGCCAAGGAGGAAGATGATGGCGACGAGGTAGATGGGGTCGCGGTAGGGAAAGACAGTAACCATTTTCTTTAGTCGTACTCTGATGGAGCTGGACTCTTCCCATTCCATAACGGAGAGGTTGTCGGTCGAGTCGGAGAACTTTTCCTCGATGTATATCTCCTTCATATCCGCATCTTTCTCCAGATCAAAGACAGCGGGTGCAGCAACTCGTTCCGATTCACACTTTTGACGGTGCTCGACATGATCAACATGAACGAAATCTCTGAGTTTATCTTCGTGAGCAGAGCGTGGTCGCAGTGCTATAACCGGATGACCGATGATGCTCACCCGCGCCTGGCGGATGTATGACGCCCGTACAGTTGCAGAGGCGTTCATTGTATGTGACCCACAATTTTGTGCAAAGATAAAAAAGGTTATAACAATACACCGAGGAAGTGAAGTGGGGAATGGGGGAAAGGGAAACGCGGGCCCAAATGAGTGACTATAGCTGCGAGCAGCGGAAAAAAGCGAGTGTTATGACCCTCCCTTCACTCCGGCTGGGCTGAGGCATCAGCACGGCTTTAAACCGGAACACTCACACGTCCGTCACACGGACTCAACGCTGTCAGGTAATTGTATTTACTTTGCCAAGGTCTTGGATTGCAGACGCCCAAGACCACAGACGTGTCGGACCCACGAGCTTCGTCATGCTCCTGACGAACCAGAAGGAGTCAGCGCTTCCACAAGCTTTTTGCAAGCATTATGTTTCGTTTGTTATTCGCCTTGAGTGGATCCTGATTAGCGCAGCGTGGTCCCGGATCTCACCATTTCCGCCCAAGGTAAGGCGCCGGCTGTGATCGACGGGGATCCTAGCGTTTCAGCATTTGAACAGGGTGTGCGCGTCCCAAATTGGCGACAACTGGGTGGCGGTGCATCTAAAGAGCCAGGAATGGATGGGAGCCGCCGTCCGAACTGGGTCCACGAAACGAGCCTGAAGCGTTAGCGCGCTACTGGATGCGGCTCAAGAGGCATGCAAAACCAACAGTTGGTTGGCTCAGCCACATATACTTTTTCTTCTCGTATCACATATTTCATGTGAATGCGCGTCCACTGGATCATTCAGCTCATCGGTCTTACGTGTGGGTTTGTCCTACGTCTGTCCGGGCGCCAAGTTCACAGCCAAGGAAGTCCTGGCGATGCTTGCGGCCCGACAATCTTACAATGGGTGCACAGGCAGTGAATTGATAATGATGAAACCCAATCATGATGAGGCGTATAGGGCAACACTGCAACTAATGTTATGGACGTTGTTGATAAGTGTGTACCTGAAACGGGAAAAGAACAGCTAAGCTCATCGTCGATCAATAATCACACCGAACTTATCGTGCGATACGCGTAGAACGTACGAGAAAGGGGTTGTCGATCATGATGGTCGGACGTAGTGTGATCTGCTATGTAAACACGTAGTACGTACACCCTCTAGTTCGAGGTGTCCAACGTTTCCAGCAGTCAATCAAGCTACCGAGCATTGCGCAATCATGGATCATGTGTGTTTGATCTTTGCTCAAAGTGGTTCGCACTGTTGGTGCACATCCCACTCAAAATATACTCTGGATTTTCATCCATATGCATATACTTACGTTGCAGGCCAAAAGCGAAGATCTCTCGTCAGCTTTCCGTCCCAACAGTTGAGAGTACGGCTACAGCATTTGGCATAGTGGCCCAATCCCGCTCCGCTGACAAGATCTTGGGCGGAATCTCACGTTCGGCCCAATTGATCAAGGCATAGAGCCGAGCTCCATGTCGAGTTCCGGGCCCGCTCCCCTTTCCGCGAACCTGTATATCCGGAGCGAAAAAGAAGTGGAAATGCTTGTTCGGCTCATCCGCACTGCCCTGATGCTCTCCGCCCTCTGACGACGGTCTATAGTACTCTGTGTGATATTTATTGATCCTCAAGGCTGAGCATGGTCGTTGATCGGGTACCTGAGTCACGCAAAGCTAAAAGACCTAGGCGATCAGAATACAAAAGGCTGCCGCAAGTACGAACTCGCGCTCTCCCCATGGACACGGGCAAAGTCGTAGCTTGGGTTCTCGAACACATCTTTCGCCCAAATATGGGCAAGGGATAGAGCGCGACTCAGCTCACATTTTCAGATATTGTGTTAAGTACTTTGTGCGTGGGTCGTATTGACGCCTTACGCAAGGTCAGCAGTCGCACCCGAACCTCGTCACCATTTCGGTCCTTGACAGATATCCGTGATAAGCTTGGGTATTCCATCTATGAAATATACAGGTGTGCCGGACGTGCGAATGGGCACTTGCTCACCTACAAGAGTCGTGGGGTCAGACTTACGACGTACATGACTCTGTGACTTCAGGGATACCATTTCATGTGTGATCCAATGTATCGCAATATTCAATACCCTTCTTCGTGGAGAATTTTGGCAGTATTTTGTCAAGCATACAGTATAATCTGATTAATGGGGTTGCTCCCCGTTATTTTCTCAATGTGCAGTTCACTTGAAGTGCTCAGGATATACATGCGCTGGTTTCTTGATGGCCACCGTCGGCCAAGGCAGCGGCCCAACCATACCTCAACGCCTTACCATAGGTAAAAATGGCCCGCACATGCCAGGCCGTAAATATGACTTTCGGTGCTATAGCTTGGCATCGATGGATGTCACGATTAGTCCTGAGATATCTGGGAGACGAAACGTGCGCCAAACTGCTGACTTTGTTAGACATTGTCAATCATGTCTTGGTATTGTGTTTGAGAGGTCAATATACTTGGTGCCTTAGGGAAGTCTGAGATAAGCGATGACTTTATTGAGTAGGTGAAACAGATGGAGGACTCCAAGGCATGACACGTCTGCCGCTGCGCTTGGCTACATGTCCTCCCTGCAATTACAATTCGGCAATCTGGTTGTTATTTAACGAGCGAAGTACGTTCGTCAAAGTGATCAAAGCCCAAACGGAATAGATCTCCCAGGGCAGTTTCATCGGAGCTCGACAAAGTTGCGGCAGCGAGGTGGCTACATGGTTCAAATGTCACCACTACCAATCCCAGAATCCTATCGGTTTCCGAATGTGCATACATCGTACCGAATTCTCATTGCAGTCCTTCATACGACCATCCATGCGGTCTTTCCTCCCACCTCGCCACGTCTTAATGGACACACACGCTGGGTATCTTGTACTCATCAAACTTTTACATTAATCGCTTCAGAGACAGCAGCAGCTGTCAGCGTCGCAACTGGGTAAATACAAGAATAGGTACCTTGTTCACTTACATCACGACCACGCCTATCAGGAGAGGCCGGGACGTTGATCCTTCCGCTCCGTGGCCAAGAAATTCGAAATTGCCGGAGCGGGATGGTCTGCAGTAAGATCTAAGAAAAGATCCCTTGCAAGTTCCTTTGTCCCCGGTCAACCACACACACCATCATAAATGCACGAACTGAACTTGGTCCCATCTCGCGTCCACCTTTTTATCCGGAAAGTCGCGTTATGGTGATGATATCGCAACCAACTTCTGTAGTCAGCAACGAGCCGTGGAACTCTTTGACTTGGCACGATGGGAATTCGTGTGACACGCGGGTGTCTGGGCCTCATGTTCACCCAACAGGCAGGATACGTCGAGGTTCACACAAGTCGGCATTATGCGTGTATACCGTTCCCGTCTGTCAGTGCGCTGCCCGGAGCGGGTGAGGCAGAAAGGCGCCGTGCCCTCATGCGCGAACCCGGTCGGTATGTCAGCCGCCCCAACCTTTAACGGCATAGGCAAAGCACAGCGAGCGCCTAATGGCCAAGATTAGCTGCGTGGCGAAGTATTTTCTACCCACTAATGCACTTATCGTTACACCACAGAACGAACCATCTGGTGAAGTGGTTTGGTTCGCGGGTATTGCGATCGAGTGCATTTTGTGGGTGTTCTCCAACACGCGTCTCATGGGGCAGAAAACACTGCCGAACAGGCACCAGTTGTATATTCTCGGATCGCTAACCTATTTTGATTGCACTGTTTTTGGTCCCTGGACCTGTTGCAGGTGAAGCGCTGGATACTTGGTCGCCTTAGACAGGCGTTGTCCATATCATAAAGATATCTCCAATGTCTTTTCAAGTTATCAGCGCGAGTGGCCCTGCCAAATCTCTGATCCACTTGGTTTCATAATGATATGACGGGTTGTCATTTTCCTGGAAGTCTCATCATCATCCTTTCCTTACTGCTTCATCTTCGCAGATATCTTTATCATTCCTTGGTGTTTTCTTTTTTGCTTTCCGTCAAACAACGAATTTTATTTCCTTTAGAAGCTACGATGACGTCCATACAAGGTCATATGAACGCCATTAAGCTGGTCTCATGGACTCTTGCAATCGCTGTGGTGGTCGTTCTCATTGTGCGGCAGATTGCAAAGACGATTGTTTTCCGAAAGGTTGGCTTGGACGATAGTTTTATTCTCATAGCATCTGTAAGTGAGCCCAGGAACTAATGAAATTCACCATAGGGCTAATAAAGCCAGATATTCGCCATCAGCTTATCGGCTACTGTGCTCATCCTTACAGCCAACGGTCGCGCTATGTCCTTCTCCTTGACCTTTTCACAGGCAGACATTCTTTCCAAGGGATACTACATATCGGAACTGTTCTACATATCTGGTTTTTGCTTCCCTAAGCTCTCTATTCTCGTTCTTTTCTTCAATATCGCTGCAAGTCGACAATTTCTTCACCGCGTAGTACTCGCTCTTGGCATCTTCATCTCCACCTGGACTTTAGTGTCTTTGATAACCATCGCATTTCAATGCGAACTTCCACGTCCATGGAAAACAACCAGTCCGCATTGTCTCAATTTTGTAAGTGGATCATTCAAGCAATCGTGCGTATATAACATAGATACTGATTCACATAGCGCATTTTCTGGGTTATCTATTGTACATTCGACGTATTGACTGAAATCGCTCTGATTGCAATTCCCATGAGCATAGTCGCGGCTCTCCAAATGCCCCTCGGCCGCAAAATGGCGGTTATCTCGTGTTTTTCTCCTCGCCTCCTTGTCATTGCAGGAACGATTGTTCGAACCATCTGGGTCTATCCTACCATACCACAGCGACATGACCACCATCGAATTTGGGAACCACTGGTGGCAATGCAGGTTCACCTATGTATGAGCATCATCACTGCGAGCATTCCATTCATGGTACCTTACTGTAGGGAACTTAGTCATAGATTGCAAGGATCTACCTCCATCAGATCTTCAATGCATCTACAGGACAAAACGGTTGGCCATCCGACATCAATCTGGTTTCGGAGACATTTGAGAAAAAGTGATGCTGTTATGCGAAATTCGGATCCTGAAGGTGCTACTCACTATGAACTTATACCAAGAGCCTCACCTATTATTCCCTTTGCAAGATCGACAAGCCCTATGGCGAGCGGAGCATTACAGATGTCACCAAAACAAAAATCGACTGTAAAGGGTCTCAATATACACATCCCTCATCGTAGCTCTCTAGGGAAGCGAAGCCATGAGCTAGTAAGCTCACGGACGCAAAGCTCAGGGATGTTGTGTCCATGGAGCACATCACCACAAGCGCTGCTCACGCATTCTTTCGTGCCTTCAAGAAAAGCGCCTATTCCACCTCCAAAAACACCTCGCCTGGGCCCCCTTACACCGACCTCCTTTTATTCAGACGACTCCGATACTCCGCCTTCCACTGCATCGCGTAACGAACTATCTTTGGTCTCCAGACATGAACAATCAAGAACCATATTTACACCCCCCCAGGCGTCGCCGTATCTATCACCAGGAACTTCAGTATCCGGTGACAAACATTCAGTGACAGGACACAGCACTGCCTCGCCTAAGAGGCTACTCTATGGTCAACCTTCCCAACGCATCCAACTACCCAAATTCAGTTCGAGCCCACGCCTACAAACCCCTGCGTTCTCAACACCGAATCAAAGCAACGCCCGACCAAGGTCCATCGAGGACCTGGTTTCTCCTATGGGCACAGCTATTAACGGCTGGTTCAACAGTCCAGATTCCGAACGCCTCCATCAGTTCTCACCATTATCTCCTTCACGTGCACGAGACTCATCGAGCGAGCATGGCTTCTCGCCTATAGAGTCGCCTTACATGCCGAAATATCCGCTTTTCAGCCATACGCGCTCTCCCGCTAGGTCGAATGTTTTCCTCAATGAGCCCCCCTCGTCGCACAGTTTTTATCATACATCTCTCGCTCTGGAGACTGGACGCATGCCTCCAGTTCGCGATGTGAGAAGCAGTCCGCGCGTCGTCGTACGCGATGTTATGTAATTGTACACCTGTTCAGCTTGCATGTCGGCGTTTTCGTTTCATTGTTTAGGCGTTTTTTCTTTCATTTGGTGTGGGCGCAGTATTTTGGTTGGTGGTGCATCATGCATGGTTTATGCAGGGTTTCTCAGAATGCTTTCTCAGCATATATATGTACAATATGTATCTTTTTATTTTGCGTTTGGCGAGATCAAAGCCAACAACCCATTGTTTTGCCTCTTTTATAAACTGGTGTCCTCCTGTGAGACATGGTTATTCAAGACCTCCAACAATTAATTGAATTGTCAGTATTTGTGAGAGGTCTAGGGCCCGTTCTTGCTGATTTGGGCGACAAAATCCAACATTAGTGTTGTAGCAAGGTCAAGGGATATAATGATACAAGCAAATATGTCGTCCGGCATTCTTCCCTCGATGAAATCATCGCCAAGGTATTTAATTTCCCGAAAAACCTTCCCATCATTCTTTTCCCTATAGAAGCATCTCTATGCGCAAATAACCTCCCATAATCAAGCGATATTATTCTTGTAGAGCTTCTTGGAATCGCGCTTAGAACTCGAAAGCATACACGCGGGCGATAGCATTTGCTACTAATGCTACGGCAACGCATCGTGTTAGCAAACGACTCCCGCCACACATGATTGGCCTGAAATACGAAAGAAACCGAGCTCTATCGTCACTTCAACGGGGTTCAGAATCTCTTTGAAGCAGTATATTTCTCGAAGATGGCACACACAGGGCTCTAAGTGTCACTTCTCATTCGGTCAAGAATAGTGAAAGATGACGATACGTCACCGGTGCATAGTGGTTATCTGTGAATTTTCAAAGTTAGACTCTCAAGGCTGGTAACAATGAATCTTCCAACATTGTTAGCTCTCCGTTCAGTCGTGATTACATTTCGAAATCTCATCACACATCTATCCGCAGAACTAGTGTAAAAGGTTTTACAACTGATCAGCCTCCGAAACCCTGTTCAATGAGTTATTTTTAATCTTCGCGGGAAATCGATGACGTATTGGGGAAGGCGTAGCACACCTCACCGTCGCGCAGAAACTCGCGCGCATAGATGATGAGTATTTG